CCAGGAGGAATAATGCGGGTTCCGTCCTGGTTGTGGAACACTGGATTTACTATTTACCTTCACAAGGGTGCTCGAGGGGTGATGGAAGTTTGCCTGTCCAGTCTACATGTGTTTTGTGGACTTGGAGAAGGCTTTTGACTGTGTTCCTCGAGGTACACTTTGTGGGGTGCTCCATGAGTATGGGACTGGGGGTCTATTGCTATGCGCTGTTTGGTCCCTATTCAAGCAGCACAAGAGTTGGGTTTGCATTGCTGGTAGTAAGTCAGACCCCTTCAGGGTGGGAGTTGGACTCCGCCAGGGCTGCCCGTTTTCACAGATTCTGTTCAAAACTTTTATAGACAGGATTTCTCAATGGGCAGCACGGTGGCGCAACTGGTAGAGCTGCTGCCTCTCAGTGAGCAGGTCCTTGGTTCAAACCCCGGTCCAGGGGCCTTTCTGGGTGGAGTTTGCATGTTCTCTCCGTGCATGCGTGGGTTTTCTCCGGGTACTCCGGTTTCCTCCCACAGACCAAAAACATGCATGTTAGGCTGATTGGTAACTCTAAATTGTCCCTAGGTGTGAGTGAGAGAGTGAATGGTTGTTTGTCTCGTTTGTCTCTATGTGTCCCTGTGATGGACTTGCGACCCGTCCAGGGTGTACCCCGCCCCTCGCACAGTGACTGCTGGACATGGGCACCAGCGACCCCCGTGACCCAAAATGGAATAAGCGGGTAAAGATAATGGATGGATGGATTTCTCAGTGCACCCAGGCACAGACTGAGTCTGGTTTGTTGGCCTCAGGATTCCTTCTCTGCTATTTGCGGATGATGTGGTCCTGTTGGCGTAATCGTGCCGTCATCTTCAGCTCTCAATGTAGGTGTTTGCAGCAGAGTGTGAAGTGGCTGGGATGAGAATCAGCACCTGCAAATCTGAGGCCATGGTCCTCAATCAGAAAAGGGTGGATTACTCTCTTCAGGTCAAGAGTGAGGTCCTGCCTCAAATGGAGGAGCTCAAGTATCTTGGGGTTTTAATCATGAGTGAGAGAATGGATTGTGAGATTGATAGACAGATTGGTGCAGCATCTGCAGTATTGTGGACTCTGTGCCGGTCCATTGTGGTGAAGAGGGAGCTGAGCTTTAAGGCAAAGCTCTGTTTACTGGTCGGTCTACGTTCCTACCCTCTTCTATGGTCACAAATTCTGGGTAGTGACTGAAAGAATGAGATTGCGGCTACAAGCAGTGGAAATTATTTTCCTATGCAGGGTAGCTCAGAAGTGCAGCGGCTTCTCATGCTCCCGGGATTAAGCCTTATTTTAATTCATATGAGGCTGTTTTAGGCACTAGTTCAGTGCTAAATTCACGGCTCAAGTACAGCTCAACTGAACTGATGGACATCAGAGACAGTTGGGTTATTAATATATCACCGAGGCTGAAATCCACACTCAGCAGACCGCGGCTCCTGCGAACAACAGAATGGCACAGCAAAGTGCAAGGAGCAACAGTCAAAAGAAAACAATGTGCCCGGAAACAGAAGAGGGGGAAGTGGGCAGGCGTGTTGGCCCAGCTAAAGGCTAGGAGGCCACCGATTCCTACTCCCTTTCTGGCTAATGTCCGCTCACTGGATTAAAAAAATGGACTTGTTATGTCTGAGGATGAGTGTTTGTACAGAGATGAAGAACTGTGCTGTTCTTTGCCTAATGGAAACCTGGCTTAATAACAACATGCCGGACTCAGATTTCCAGATCAACGGTCTTCAGTTAATCCAAGTGGACCGTGACCATTGGTTGGGTAAAACACCGGGAGGAGGACGCTGTATGTTCGTGAATGAAGATTGTTATACGAACAGTGGACTGGTAAAAAGCTACTGCTCTGAAGCGATAGAACTTATTACTGTGAAATATAGGCCATACTATCTGCCACGGGAGTTTACTACAGTGTTTGTCACCATTGTTTACAACCCGCCTAATGCTAATGCTAACAAATCATCAAAGGAGCTGCTAGCTCACTGCAGATAAAGCGCCCGGAAGCGTTTTACATGGTTGCGGGAGACTTTAACCACGTGAAACTGACACTCTGCCCAGTTTTTACCAGCATGTCACCTTTCCTACGTAGGGAGACAACACTCTGTACTGTGTATACACTAACATTTGCGGTGCATACAGAGCTCTTCCTCATTCCCATCTTGGCCTCTCCGACCACATCTCAATCCTGCTGGTGCCAGCATATGGTCCACTGATGAGACGGATTAGGCCAAAAAAGGAGACAGTCACTGTGTGGCCCAGGGATGTAGAGTCTGTGCTCCAAGACTGTTTTCAGTGCACAGATTGGCAGGTCTTCAGAGAGGCGGCTACACATGAGGGAGAGATAGACCTGGAGGAATATACCTCCTCTGTGTTTGGTGTCATCTCCAAGTGTGCTGATGATGTCATCACCACCAGGACAGTAACCTGTTATCCGAATCGGAAACCCTGGCGGAATGCTGAGGTGAGAGATCTGCTGAAAGCTAGGGATGCTATGTTCAGGACAGGCGAGGTATCAGCACTCCGAGAGGCAAGGAAAAGTCTGACTGCAGGCATTACAAAGGCCAAAGCCACATACACCCAGAAAATTCAGGGTTACTTCATCACCAACGACCCCCGGCGCATGTGGAAGGGCATCAAGTGCATTACGAACCACAACACCAGGGATGTACAATGCCCAAGGGACCCCTCATTGCCAGATGCACTCAATGAGTTCTATGCTCGCTTTGAGGATCCTAACATGCTTCCCCCGTGCCCCCCCCAGCACCAGACTTATACCACCACCCGGTGACATGTGACCACAGCAGATGTGAGGAAGACCCTCCAAGGAACCGACCTCCATAAGGCTGTAGGCCCCGACGTCATCCCAGGGCGGGTACTGAACGACTGCGCGCACCAGCTGTCTGAGGTGTTGGTGGACATCTTCAACACGTCACTGTCAATGCCATTTGTCCCCACCTGCTTTAAGTCCACCACTATTGTCCCTGTACCCAAATGCTCTACAGTGACAGGCCTGAATGACTACTGACCTATAGCCTAAACATCGGTAGTCATGAAGTGCTTCGAGAGGCTGGTCATGACCCACATCAAGGACTCCATTGATGTCACTGTGGACCCACATCAGTACGCCTACCGAAGGAACTGCTCCACTGCTGATGCCATCTCATCGGTGGTCCACACAGCCCTCACCCATGTAGAGAGCAGAAATTCTTACATCCGTCTTTATTATATATATATATATATATATATATATATATATATATATATATATACATATATATATATACAATTCCTACGTGTCCAGTTTCACTATGTTTTGTCTGTCTAAGCAGATCTCACTTGTAAATGAGTCTTCGAGGCTCAATGTGACTTATCTGTCTACATAAAGGTTGAATATGTACATATGTATATATATATATATATATATATATATATATATATATATATACAT